GATAGAGGAGGCCAGATAGCACTGCAGAGGGAGGGTGGTGAGAGTGACAGGGAAGGTGTCGTCGAAAGCGCCAAGAGTAGCCTACCGTAGGCCAACTTGATGTATTCATGGGTAAAAGTCAAAGGTTCAGCCAATCGAAGCCCGGTTTACGCCCTGAGTGTAGTCACATGTGTGTGTATGTCTAGAGATCTAATAATAGATCAAGATAAAAAATCATGAAAGTATTGAAAATAATTTTGTACTGCAGTTGATTTAGCACGCACGTCGAACTGCGCCGAAGGATATTTTGTGTTCGGTGTGTTCGTGTGTAGATCTAAGTCTAGATCTAGATGTAATATCTAATCTAGATCAAGATTTAAAAAATCATGAAAGTATTGAAAGTAGATTTCTCCTGCAGTGGATTTAGCGCGCACCCCGAAGGATGATTGTATTTTGTGCAGTGTCTAGATGAGATCTAGAATCGAGATCTAGAATCGAGATCTAAACCGAGATCAAGAAGAATCATGAAATGGAAGTAGAATCTAGATCAGTGATATTTCGATAACCTATTGAATATTGAAAGTGGATTTTTCTTGCTGTGCATTATAGATTCTAAGATCAGATCTAGATCTAGGCTAGATCTATAGGTGAATCATAGTTAGAGATCAAGAATGATGAAAATATGAATGTGGATTTTTTCCTGCTGTCAATAGATCTAGAGTATAGAATTAGACTGTCGGTGAATCAAGATCGAGGTAAAGAATCATGAAAGTCTTCTTGAAAGTGGATTTTTCCTGCTGTGAATAGATCAAGAAATCTAGGCCATCTGTGACGCCTGTCGTTTATTAAGATTGTGAATTTCTAAACTTAAATCTATCTATTGGCCAAGGCTCCTTTCTTTCAATTATAGGCCTATATGGCTTTATAATCCTTCGAGATCTATGCTAGATCTAGAATCTAGATTATGTTCTTCAAGGTAGCAACAATTGGCATGTAGGCCTAACTCTTTTTTAAAAAGTGATTGAGCCTGAACTTTAGGAGAAAATGCCACGCCTTCGAAGAGAGGGAAGAATAAGTCTTACCCCTAGAGGTAGAATCTAGATCTAGTCAAAAAGGGGTGCTACATGGATAAATTCAAGGTAAAATAATATTTATGTTTTGTTTCTTTCCTGTTTTCAATCTTTTTCCTCTTCTTAACTTTCCCAATACAATGTACTTCTTCATTATTATTCCGTTCGTAGAACTGGTACTTTTACTAGTATAATAGGCCACCTCTATTCTCACCCGGAGTGAGAATAGTGCAGGCGAGTCTTGTGGCTATTCTCACCCGGTGCGCGTTCACCAAATTTTGCGTTCACCCTATACCATAGAATTCTACACTGTGAGGAAAAATTGTAGAATTCTGTGCCGTGAACAAACGTTCCATTACAACTGTAGCCTACTAAAAGCGTACAATTTTGTCTGTGGGCAGTGGAGAGAGAGAGAGAAAGAGAGAGAGGAGTAGCGCGAGAATTTCCGGGCAAAACAAAATGGCGACCCGCGTAGTTCGGCTCGATTCGAAAAGTTAAATAGCCGTAGCATCTTTGTAGACAACCAAATTAATTTACTTTTGTGTTTTAACATCATTTTTTAACTTTGTTTTGGTCAATTTGATCGTCCACACCGATAGACAGTATTCAGAAAGAGAGAGAGAGAGAAAGAAGAGGGGAAGTGTTGATCTTGCGAGAACTTCCGAGCGGGTGAGAATAGCCACTTTCAGTATAAATAATAGTAACATTTTACATTATTCTTGGTTATCCGTACAATTGTGAGAACAACTCTGTCTAGTTATCCGTACAATATTGTACCATACAATATTGTGTGAACAACTCTGTCTAGTTATCCGTACAATGTTGTACACACAATGACAATATATCAATTGTACGAAGTGCTACAGGTATCCGTACTAGTACAATAGTAGGCCTACATGCTGACAGGCCTACATGTTCTGTCTTAGTAGATCTAGATCTAAAAATATAGATCTAGATTCTAGATCAGTGTTTCCAATATTCCACCAGCTGAATTTTTTAAATTTTTCATCAGACCTCATCTGCGGATCTGATGCCAGCCGCCTCATTGAGGGTGTTCCCCCCATGTAAAAAAAAAACTAAGTCTAGATCTGCGTTGAAACTGTACTGTAAAAATATTTAAGCTTAAATCTACCTCATTCTGTGGATAGTTCTGATGGCCGAAATGACAGCGTGTCTGCGTTAGAAGTAGTATTATATTTTGAGTGTGGGTTCGAATCCCCGTCCCGGAAGTTTCTTTTTTTTTTTTTTCTTCTTCAATTCTTCTCTCTCCTCTCCCGACTCACCAACAATTTTCCCCCCCATAATTGTTGGTTTTGACTTCAAAGATTTCCCCTCATGGTTTTGTGTAAAAAAGAAGAAACCTATTATAATAATATATAGAATTTAGATCTAGTTCATATACAGTGGAACTCGGATTCAACGAGGTCGCCGAGCCCGACCTAAAATCTCGTTGAAACCGAGTGTTCGTTTAGCAAACACAAGGTTTTGTGTAGATAATTACAGGCAAGTAATGTATAAAGAGAAGTCAAGTAGTGCCTGAAAAGCATACACATTATGAGCTGTGTTTAAAAAAAAGACCGATTCGTTCAAATGCAAACGCCTCATGTCATCTCGATTGTTTACCAAGTTGTGTTGCTGTGTAGAGCCTAGCATACGGCAACTTTTGATTCCCTAGTCCAGCGCACAATTCATTACCCAGATCTACGTCAAGACTAGCTTATCATCAGGGGCGGCTCGTGGGGCTAAAAAGTGGGCGTGTACAATTAAGCAATCAGCAGGTTGAAGATAGCCAAGGGCATAGTAAATGGGATGGTAGGATCTCTGGGTTGGTGAAGGAGGACCTTATGCTTTTATTTTATTCTTTTTACTTGTCGCTTTGATTTCTAGAACTAAATCTGTGTGTAGCTAAACATCAGGTTCCTTATCCTGCATTGGAACTGAACACTCGAGTAATAACTTTCACCCTTATACTACAAAACCATTCAAAGGCACAACTCATAGGGCGGTGACTTAAGTATGTCACGTTCACCTCCCTCAGGTTCACGGTCACAGAGTCGCTTAAAAAAGTGGCAAGACAATGAACCAATCACAATCCACTTGAGCACTCCGCTGGATTGCTCTGGGGATCACATAATTTTGGCGTTGAATAGTGTGCAGTCTATCGCGTTTATTTTTAGACTTCCTACTGTGGGCTATGTTTCGTGGGTGCACATTTGAGATGTGCCGTCTTGTTAATATTAATGTACCGCCAAACTCGCTACGCATGTCGTCATCGCTTGGGTTATCCCAAATGGCGATTTTTGGTCAGATAACCACTGTTGAATATTCTATTGCGTTTAGTTAAAGCGCGGCATGGCATAGTAGATGTTTTACGGCACTTTTGATACAGAAATGACAGTTACAGCGCCAGCGAGGACCTTGTTCTGATATTATATTTGTCTAGTGTTTGTTTCTGACTTCTTTTATTTCATGTTTGTGGGTGGTTTTCGTAATAGAACATGAAAAAATATTTGGGCGGCACTGCACGACCGTGCTCTATGGACGAACCGCCCCTGCTTATCATTGTAATATTGAGCAGTTGCCAAGGGGGAAAAAAGACTGTGACGCGTTGGTATCTGCGACGTTCAACGCCCGGACTGCTAGTACCCCCCCCCCCCCCCTCCCGGACACACGCACACACAGTCACACGTGTGCTGGCCGCCCATCCGACCCCGACACACGCCAGAGTAGACACGTGCGCGTGCCAACAACGCATGTGTTGGTATGAAAAAAGGCCGCTGATTGGTCGCATGCAATCGGCTAAGTGAATAATAGTTCACAAAGCAGGCGCAATGAATGGTTTCCGGGAATAGATAAAGTTCGTTCTGGGAGAAAAATAAGCGAAGCCAAGTCTGCAGGGGCTGTTCACCCTGGAAGCGACCTCGTTGAATCCGAGCTCCCTGATTTAAGTGCTCGTTGAATCCGGGTTATTTTTTAAAAATTGATTTTAAAGAAGAAAAAAAAAACAGGGAATCTATCTCATCTCGTTGAATCCGAGTTCTTGTTGAATCTGAGCTCGTTGAATCAGAGTTCCACTGTATTTTATAAATCTACTTATGTTTTAATAGAAGTATAGATCTAGCCTATTTTTCCTTTTAGGCCTACCAATTTATGCCTGGTTAAAGTTATTACATTGATGCTCAACCCAGGGGAGAACCAACTGGATGACTAGATTTAGTTATCTAGGCTTATTTTTACTAACAACCTCCAAAATTCGAATAATTGTACGAATAACTCTATTTGGTTATTTGTACAATTGTACTAATAACTAGATCTAGTTAGAGTTGTACGCACTATTGTACTAATAACCGCAGTCTTTATTAATTTCTGAATCTTTTTATGGTGTCACTTTGATCCATTTAAATGAAACAAATAAAACACTTTTAGGTAGTTTAGGTGTGGCAATATTAGTTACTTTTGATAATACATGCACGTGTATTTTTTATGAGTGCCGTTCAAGGAGCTTAAAACAAACCCGTTTTGGTCTTTGTATAATTAAATTGTTTTCTTTGGATAGATCGATTTATGTTTTTAGAACAAAAAAGTATAAATGGAATTTGTACCGACTCGGACACAACAATAAGTAGGCGTGCCCCTCCGACTTCGAGTATTTTCAACACCATTGAGAAGCAGTACAGACGTGACTGCTTCGAACCAAAATAAAATATAAAGTAGCCCAGGCGTTTAAGAGGAAGCACAATGCCTAAGGCAACTCTTGCCTCAAGGTACAGGACATCAGTGATGCTTTTAATGGTTTGCTTTAATTCTCTAGATCTAGATCTAGATCAAATATGAAAGTGGAACTTCTTGAATAGAGTGACTTTCTCACATTCATGTCAAACTTATGAGCTTGGTCTTTGCTTGGCTTAGAAATCTGAGGTCTGATTGAATTACGTTTTGTGCTTCATACAACAACTAATGAATAAAAATTATTTTGAATGCTAGATCTAGATCTAGATCTAGATCTAGATCTAGAACTAATCTAGAACTAAAATGATTTTATGCCTGGACTTGCTTTATTAAATTTTACTGCAACTAGACTAGAATCTTGATCTAGATCTATATCTAGAATCTAGATCTGTGTCATGTAAGTGGGGTGTTTGGTTGCTGTGTGGTTTTTTTGTTTTTTTTTTCTTTCTTATTGAACAATTTTTATTGCACCTGAGTCTTCGTGTTCGATGTCAGATTATACACATGCTTGCTTCCCTTGAACGCTGCCACCTTCCTGCCTTTGACGTCAAAGGCAAAGCCTCTCTCGTCTGCGTTGTAGATGCGGCTTCCATCCTCCAGAAGAGTAGGGTCCATGGCCACGATATGTTCCCTCAGCTCCTTAAACCATTTCGATATGGCCTGGGGTGTCACTGTCGCCCGTTCCTTCCCGAGGCCCAAGGTCGACCTCAGGGTGAGCTCCGGGTGCCTCTCAAACAGCCGGTACACCCAGGCCACAGATGGCATGTTTACGTTCCTATTGTCTTTTTCTGGTGGCTGCCGCAAATCGATGATGGCTTGGGCAGTTCTCCGGATGGATATCATCAGTCATCAGCCCAAAACCACATTTAGCCCGGTCCAATACAAACTTTACTAGTTTGTCCTCTTTTTCGGGAAAAAGAAGGCACACCTTTTTAGGCGCCAGAGGTGTCTTGCCCACTATTTTATCGTTTAGAGTGGAAAATGGAATATTAAACGTTTTGGCAGCCTGTCTTTGAGTCATTTGACCCGTTTTTACACTTTCCATTGCCTGCAGAATCACTTTTGGGTCGTGTAACTTTTTGTCTCTTTTGGGAGTTTTTGTCTCCTTTTCTCCAGTCTTTCTTGGTCGTCCCATGATTTCGTTCAGATCTTTGTTTCTGTAATGAACATATGAGGGACTTTTCTTAGGGATTCATTATCTTAGAAATTTTTTATCACTGCTAGATCATCATCATCAGTGTCACTTTTGAAATCTTCCATCACTAATTATCTCTAAATCTAATATAGGATCTAGATCTACATCTATTTGTATTTAAATTTGGCCTTTTCAGGATTACTGGCATATAAGCTCTAACTTTGAGTTATTTAAATTACGCACAAAATCAGAATTCTTTATCATTTAACCATTGGCATTGCAACATGTTGTGTGCCCGAAAGATGAAAATCTACGCTTTTTTTTAACAATCCGGGCACCCCCCCCCCCCAGGGCAAAAATGGCTAGACTGAACTGTACGTTCTCTTTCATCCTCGACAGGGCCTCATATATGAATAACTCTCAAGCTTTCAGAGCGTAACAAAACATTATAATAAAGCTTCCGCTTCTTTCATCCACAACCTAAGTATACTCTTCCGGGGGAAGATCGTAATGCTGTTTTACTCACCTGATGGACGAAAACGCTGTCTTAATGGATCTTTTCAGCAAATCAGCGCCTCCACTGTTGTGTCAACTGAAGTAAGGGAGGTTGCTTCCGGTTTTCGTGCCTCGCTTTTGGGGTAGGATTCAAAAACAAAATTTTTAACAGTTTTTTCCTGCTCCAGTGCCCGCAAATGAGAAACGAAACCTGCTGCCCGAACCGGTAATGTTACTCTACCAAGCTTTTGTTTCTTTTCAACTAATCTCTTATACCTCAATCTCTCTGCCTTGCCCATGAATTAGATCTATTCCTCTGTAAAATGTTACTTTCACACCTGCCCGCAGATGCTGTGACATTGGTTTTGGGGGCTAAACAGCTAGTCGCACATTCCTTTTGACGTCTTTTGTTACTTTGTTAAAACCTGGGTAAACATTGACCACTCATCTTACTTATCAATTGTGTATGGCTGTCAGTAGGCCATATGGGTTGTGAGGGATAACATGCTCCTCTCACCTCCAGCTGAAAATTTATTGTTACCGATTGGTCAAGAGTGGGAAGGGCCTACACAGATATGAGCTGTAAGAGGGACTAACAACAATGATAGGTGAATGGATTATGACAGCTTGACCACAGTATCAGGGGCTAATACATAATTTATGACAAAACGTCAGACCACAAAAGATTTGCATAACCGTCTAAGACAGGTTTATTGGTTAAAAATAAGGTGGCCATGACCATGTTGGACAGCTAGGTGACCGATTTACGCAAATTATGTGTAGACAAAGCAAAAGAGGAGAATGAAAAGTGGACATATTATACAGGTGGTCGTCATGGCAAGTTCAACTGTATTTTTGGCTGCAAAATACACTCACTGCCATGGCCATTTAAATGGTAATGGTAGCAAATCATTTGTTGTTTTAAAAAAAATCTCAAACTTAATTAATTGCAAAACTTCAAACTGTGGTGAAATTCATGGAGGCAGTCCCTGTCATGTGTGTACATCAATAGCTTGGACTTAACTGACCAGCTATGTTATAACGGCTCAAGGCCGTAACGTGACCTTCTTGGTAATAAAGGACAACTTCCGTTACTACTCATTCTCACTGAGGTCTTGTGTTTGTTTGTGAGCACGTTTTATAATTATTCGTCAAGCTATAAGCATAGCCAAGAACGTAACATGGTGTCAGAAGTGCAGAACTAACGTCTGTTTCCCCATTGTAACTGGCAGGTAGGCTTTATAACATTGCCTTTGCTGTAATCACAATTTTCATTGTTCACATTTGTATTTTGGGCAGCGCATCCGCCCAAGTACTGGTACCGTGAGCGCAGGTACTGGTACCGTGAGCGCAGGTACTGGTACCGTGAGCGCACCCACAACGTGTTTCGTTCAGACCACGTGGAGTTATCTGCAGGTGCAGACTGCAGGTAGTTTCGGGAAGCGTACTGACCGCAGAGCGCATACTCCCCAGATTTGCTTTCTCGATACAGACCAAAGTTGGTCAGGTTCGTCGCCGATGACCAGATTGGTGGCAGTTAAGGATAAAATACAAAATGTCCCGACTAAAATCACCAGAGGAACTTAGTTTCTCAGACTCCCATAGCCTCGCAGAGAGATGGAGAATGTGATCACAAGAAATGAGACTATATATTGATCTCACCATGGCAAAAGAAACCAAAAAAGACAAATGCTCAGCATTTTTATATATCATTGGCAGATCTGGAAGAGAAATCTACAATACTTGGACTATTCCTGAAGAAGAACAGAACAAACTCGAGGTCTTGTTCAGAAGATTTGACCAATATTGCAAACCAAAGCAAAACGTGACTCTAGAGAGATATAAGTTCAACAGTAGAGTACAACAGCCTAATGAGTCTCTGGACGAGTTTGTCACAGACCTGAAACTCTTAGCAAAACTTTGCCAGTATGGAACTTTGGAGGAAGACATGATTAGAGACCGTATTGTCGTGGGAATAAAGAAAATGGTAGTAAAAGAACGACTGCTCAGAGAGCCAGACCTCACCGTTGAGTCTGCAATGTCTATTTGCAGAGCGGAAGAAGAATCCAGAAAAGGGCTCACCATAATGGCTGAGGAGGCAGAAGCAGTGAATGTGGTGAAGACTAAGAAGTTCGTCAAACCACCAGGAAAACGGAAGAATAAAGTCAAGACATCAACCTTCCACTGTAACAGATGCGGAAGTACTCATGAAAGTAAAGCGTGTCCGGCGTTTGGAAGAACTTGCAACATATGCAAGAAACAGAATCACTTCGCCAAAGTGTGCAGAGCTAAAAAAGTTCAGCAAGTAGTGGAATCAAGAGAACAAAGGCGCCATGAGAGCCGAAGTGATGAAGAGTTTTTCATAGGTGCAGTCAATAACACTAAACAAGAGGAAGAAAACTGGTTTGTTCAACTCAACTGTAGAGGCCAGCAGATGAAAGTCAAGCTGGACACAGGAGCTCAGGTGAACATAATCTCAGAGCAACAGGCAAAACAAGTTAATGCTCTGATAGTCCCATCAAAAGTAAGACTGACGTCATACTCGGGGAACAAAATTCCAGTGAGTGGCCAAGTTCACCTCCTTTGTTTTCATAAAGGAAAGAAATATTATGTGGACTTCGTGGTGGCGTCATCACCGGATGCTCAGTCAATTTTGGGATTGAAAACATGTTCTCAAATGAACCTCATCCAGAGGATACATGAACTGAAGTCACAGACAGGACATCAAAGACCTCCAGAACTGTCAAATATACTAAAGGAGTACAGCGACATTTTTGGAGAGATGGGCTGCATCAAGGATACACATCACATCAAGGTAGACCACAACGTCACACCTGTTGTTGCTGCGGCTAGACGAGTACCCCTAGCGATGAAGCCAAAGTTGAAAGTTGAACTTGAAAGAATGCAAAGACTTGGAGTCATTGAAAAGGTAGAAGAACCGACAGACTGGGTGAACCCCATGATTATGGTACAGAAACCAAATGGAGACATCCGGGTCTGCATTGATCCCAAAAGGCTCAACGAGGCTATAAGAAGGGAGCACTACCAGTTACCTACACTAGAGGAAGTCACAATAGAGATGAAAGGTGCCAAGTACTTCACCAAGCTCGATGCCTCAAGTGGTTTCTGGCAAGTACCACTAGATCACAAAAGCTCGGAGCTCTGTACATTTGCTACACCATTTGGCAGATTCAAGTTTCTCAGGCTGCCATTGGGAAGCAAGTCAGCCCCTGAAGTCTTCCAGAAAATAATACATAGATTTTTTGGAGATATTGAAGGTGTTGTGAGCTATGAAGATGACCTTTGCATCAGGAGCCAATCAGTAGAAGAACATTGTAAACGATTGCGCCAAGTCTTGCAGAGAGCAAGAGAAAACGGACTGAAGTTCAACAAAACAAAATGCGAATTCTTCAAGACAAAACTGAAGTACCTTGGACACATACTCACAGAATCAGGAGTAAAAGCGGATCCATCAAAGGTGACAGCTATAAAAAACATGCCTGCACCAAAGAACAGACAAGATCTGATGAGATTTCTTGGCATGGTAACGTATCTGACAAAATACATTCCCAACATGTCAGAAAAAACTGCGTCACTCCGTCAGCTGCTACAGAAAGATGTAGAATGGCAATGGTTGTCCCAGCATGAAAAAGCTGTGAAGGACTTAAAAGAGATCCTCTCCACAAGCCCAGTGCTGGCATTCTTTGACCCTAACAAGCCTGTGGTCGTGTCAGCAGACGCATGCAAAGATGGACTAGGAGCAGTTCTGCTCCAGGACAACAAGCCAATTGCCTTTGCATCCAGGAGTATGACCAGTGCAGAAGAAAATTATGCCATGATAGAGAAAGAGACACTGGCTATAGTGTTTGCCATGGAAAGGTTCCATCAGTATGTCTACGGCAGAAGAGTGACTGTGGAAACTGATCACAAACCTCTCGTCGCAATACAAAATAAGGCGTACGACAAGTGCCCGGCAAGGATACAATGATTTATGCTCAGGCTCCAAGCATACGACGTTGATATCAAATACAAAAAAAGGAAAGGACCAGATACTGTCAGACACTCTGTCTAGAGCTGTAGAGACAGAAGCGAAACCAGAAATTCTGGAAAAAGAAATAAATGCATTTGTTGACATGGTGATGCAACAAGCTGCAGTGTCACAAGAGAAGTTGGAAGAAATAAAACGTCTCCAGCTGGCAGATGAGCAGTGTCAGCTACTGGCAGACCTCATAAAGAAAGGTTGGCCCGAGAACATCTCAAAAGCCCCCTTAGCAGCAAAGCCATTTTGGACCTTCAGAGAAGAACTGGTAATTTACAAAAAGTTACTCCTCAAAGGACAACAAATTGTAATACCTGCGGCCTTGCAGAAAGAAATATTATCAAAAATTCACCAAGGACACATGGGTATAGAGATGTCCAAGCAAAGAGCACGCCAAAGCGTGTACTGGCCTGGAATGTCTAAAGACATTGAAAGAGTGGTTGGGACATGCCCAATATGTCTGAAATATAGAAAAACTCAACAAAGACAGCCACTGCAAAGTCACGCCATTCCAGAAAGACCATTTGAAAAGGTAGGGGCAGATCTTTTCCACTTCGGAAGAAAAAACTACTTGCTTGTCGTGGATTACACAACAAAATTTTTTTAAGTCAGTCTCCTGAACGATACAACGAGTGGAACGGTCATACACCATATGAAGGCAATATTTGCAAGGAATGGCATACCGCTCCAGCTTGTGACTGACAATGGACCTCAGTTCTCGTCCACAGACTTTAGAAAGTTCACAGAGTCATGGGAGATTGAACATAAGACATCCAGTCCACTGTATCCAAGGTCTAATGGACTTGCAGAGAGAACAGTGCAGACTGTGAAACAAATCCTCACGAAGCAAAGAACAGTGGCAAGGATCCCAATCTAAGCATCCTCAACTTCCGAACAACAGACAAAACTGACCAAGCCTCACCAGCTGAAATGCTCATGGGAAGAAAGCTCCGGACACTTCTTCCGTCTGCAAACAGGATCAAAAAGATCATTAGCAGTCGAATTATCAAAGACAGGAAGGACAAACATCATCCGTACAAAGAGAGGTTTGCTTCGCAGAAACCGACAGCACCTCTTGCAGTCAGGAGAGCCTCATCATGACCTCCAACCCGACCAGTGCGAGGGTGGTTCATACAGAAGCAATGTCCACAATAATGTCCCCGCACCCATCACACGTGGTCAAGCTGGACCTCAACTGTCCAGACCACTGGTCGAGTTCCCAAACTCACCACGAAATGATCAAGAAGTGTACGAACACACTCCTGATCGTGGAGGCACCCCGCCTTCACCGGAACACCCCGACACACACAACGTTCCACATTATATCACTAGAAGTGGTCGCACAGTGAGGAAACCAAACAAATATACGTTGTAGGCATAGACATTAAAAATGTGATTCACTGTTGACCACAACACTCATGCAAAATACACTACGCATATTTTACACTAAAGTAAAAGCTTAGAGCTGACCAGTTTAATGCTTGTGTTAAAACTAGCTCACCACTGGATACATTTATGTGTGTGATCAAGTCATGATGTCATCAAGAACTATCGTTCTCAAGGTTGATGTTCAACATCCGTTACAAAAGGCAAATGTAACTTTTTAAAAAGGGGGGATGTCATGTGTGTACATCAATAGCTTGGACTTAACTGACCAGCTATGTTATAACGGCTCAAGGCCGTAACGTGACCTTCTTGATAATAAAGGATAACTTCCGTTACTACTCATTCTCACAGAGGTCTTGTGTTTGTTTGTGAGCACGTTTTATAATTATTCGTCAAGCTATAAACATAGCCAAGAACGTAACAGTCCCCTTGTGAGATCCCTCCATATTTTTTAGGGCAAGGGGGCATGCCAGGCTACAAATTCATGAAAGCGAATGTTCATCATCATGATTGGTAGGCTTACGTGCATCGGGTAATTTGCTTTACTTCTAAATAAAATCATTAAAAAGTATAGCACACATACTTCCTCTCACAAAACATTCTTTTAATGAGTAGCACACCATTTGATTTTTTTCATTTCAGCCTCCAGAGTGAAAACAGTTTGTTTTCTACTGTGATGAAATTTTAAATTGCTTTTGGTTTATTAAGTTGTCCCTTGTGAAAAGTTTCAAAGAAGATACACCATCGTTTGGACCGGCTGCTTCTATCCATTGAACTTTTAAGATGTACAGACGAACCTGTTCTGACAATCACCTGCTAAAATGGCCTCTCCCATTTTCTCCCCCTTGCAATTTTTGTGACATTGTTTAAGATGACCATCTGTCTAAGACAACGTTTTCTTTTCGAAAATGGATAGCCATCTTAGACAATTTCAGCTGCAGATCTACACGGTGCAGTAATAAGATTAAAAAAGCATGTGACCTGATACTGATAAGGAGCTAGTGAGCCTGAACAAATGAACTACTAAAGTCAATAATTTTATTATATTCTCATGATCACAGCTCTCTAAGCTTTAGAATATACATAATAATTCGTATAAATGTGTGTATCACTAAAGTGTTTCTCTCTCTTTCCTGTGATTTCCCATGAAATAGATCTATTTAGAATAAACAATTATGCAAGGAATGTTGGCAGGTGGTTGGAAGACACCTACTTCTTTACTTTCGCTCCGCTGTTTCTGTCTGTTTGTTTCACTTTTTCCCAGCACTAAAATTTTGTATCGGTGAGCTTTCTCTCTGCTCAAACACAAACAAACAGGCAAAAGAGTGTTTTTCTCTTACTTTTATATTTTATGTGAACTCTGCTTTATTTCTTGTTCTCTCATGTAGGTAACAAAACTTTTTTGTTTTATTATCTTCTGACCTGTCCTGCAGGCCGGTGAAGAATAAAGACACTGGACTGGACCTGACAGTGACGTCTTTCAGAGAGACTAAGGGAATGGTGACGTCCACTGTCTACTACCAAGTGGTGCTGGTTTCTAATCTAGCTTGCTTCAAGACTCCAAGCCACAGAGAATCTGATGTTGTGCAGTACACTGTGAGTAGTTTTTTTTTATTAAACTGTGCTGAATGAGTACATGTATAATTTATTATGCAATGGAGTCCACGTAAACTGTTATCTTCAGGACTGCAGGATTTTCTTAGGTTGACCAAGTTTTCAGTTAAGAGACGTTGCTCAACTAGGAGGAGGGAAAAAATTGGGGATTATATTTTCTTTCAGTTTGCCGCTGTTTTTGGATTAATTGTGATTGGTTTAAGAAGACTCTGCTGTGTCTTTATCTGGCTGGGGTATTTGACAATAATTTAATTTTATAGTTTTTTCCCAAAATGAATAATTTTTTCTTGGCTGGTGTTATGGTTGATGAATGTGTGCAATGATCTGTGGCAGATTTGATTCAACAATGACCAGAATGCGTTGGTAGCTGGTGTAAAATACAAAGAGTGAAAAGTTTTTATTTGTGTGTTATATTATAGGCCTACTTATATCTTCTGAGTTTGTCAATACCAGAGTTCAACTTACACTTTACTTTTTAAATAAAAGGTTTTTTGTATCCAGGTTTTGACATGTGAAATTTCTGAGGCGTACTGAAAAAATGAGTTACTTCTTGCAATTTGTGAATGGAGATATCTGTTAAAAATGGACACTTACATACTTTTACTTTTTTCTTCCGCTTGTACTCTGGGGTGTCGCGGGGAGACACAGGCGTCTGTCTGCAGCAAGTCTGTGGCCTTGAGGAGGGACATCCCATGATCTCTAAGGGTGTCTGCCACAGATTCACTCCATCGTCGCCTTGGTCTTCCTCTGGTTCTCCATCCAGAATATTTAGTGTTGTATGCTCTCTGAGCTGGATGGTTTGAGGGCATCCGCGTGAGGTGTCCTAACCACTTGACCTCTTGTTTTTCAATGTGTGGTAGGACTGGTGTTGCTCCCACAGTGTCCCTTATGACTTCATTTTTAATTTGGTCTCTTCTTGTTTTGTTGACCGCTCTTCTTAAGCATTTCATTTCGCATGTGACCAGTTTTCTCTCAAGGGCTTTTGTTAGAGTCCATGTCTGGCACTGATATGTGAGCGTTGGAAGGAAAATGATGTTGATGAGCTTCACCTTGGTGCTCATGGGGATATTGGGATGTTTCAGAAGAGGGCCGAGTTGGTAGCTGACTGTGTTGGCTCTCTGGCATCTAGTCTCTATTTCTCTATCTAATTTTCCATTTTCTGTGAAAATGCTGCCCAAGTATTTGAATTCTCTGCTTTGTTTTAGTTGGGATCCATTGATGTTGATATCCACTTTGCCTGGTCTCCTGCTAATTGTCATGACTGCGGTCTTGCTAATACTGATCTTCATGTCATATTTTTTGCAGCTCGCATTTAGGTGGTTCATATGCTCCTGTAGCTGAGTCTTGTTGTTTGTGTCTCCTTATGTTTTCTTGAGCAATATTAATATCCACTGCCGGCCTGCTAAGCCAGTCGCTGTTTCACCAGAGCTCCGTTGGCTAGCAACGTTTCGGGGTGATCCGGGTCGGCCTTCACAGCTAGCGTAACGCCTCAGTGACATAAAGTCACACCGTACTTCACCCAGACCCAGCTATCCCCTACTTTGTCCTGTTTCCATCTCCCCCGGCGTGGACGAGGAGTTGGACTTCGAGAGATGGACACAGATGTAGATTTTCAGCTGATGTTATTTTCTTCAAGTTTAACGCGTCTTTTATAAATTATGAGGCAGCGTGGTGGAATCAGGCTCTCGTCAAAATAATCAAAGTGAAGAAACTTGCATTTTGCCAATGGTTTGTTAATTTTTATCAAATTTTTCTTTTTTGGCTCATCACCTTTCATGCCCATTAAAAAACTCATTTATGTATGGATTTGTCTGAAAAACGTTGATTAAAGGCACAAAAAATGTAAATTTTCAGTTGCCACGGACTCTTAAACTAAGGAAATAACTAATCTTTAGCGGCCATTTTCTCTCTAATTTTACCTCTGAAAACAGGTGACCCCCACCTCTTTCATTTGCAAATATCTCAACTTGTATTCAAGATAAATGGATATTTTTTGCATCCAAATAAAGACAAGTGAACAAGCTTTAAGATGATACCAATAACTCTACATGACCCAAAATTGACGAGTGCCTGATTCCACCACGCTGCCTCACATTTCGTACTACTGATAAATTGTACAAACTCAACCTATAAATTTGACATACACGTAGGCTGAAACTCTGAAAAGAAACTCATTTTGTCAGCATGCCTCTCAAATGTTATCAAAAGAAATGTTTATTAAAGCCCTTTTTATTGGTGACAAATGTATCTACTTTACCGTACTGTTGTATTATTGACAGTCATATCTTGTATGTCATTTGAATGTCAGGAGCAAACTCCCTAAATGTGAGGGTAAAAAAAAATGTTTTTACTGTGTTTATACATAGTACTTGAAACTGAATGAGTACGGTCTTATGAAGTGCAGGTGAAGATGCGAAAGAAAGCCTATAAAGACTCTCCATGTCTTTCTCATAATAAAACTGAAAGTGTAAAACTGTAAAGAAAGGCACTTTTTCAAGTTTCTCGTTTGAGCAATTAAGCCTTAGTGTTGATAACTTTGTAGCAAACACTGTACATATATTTGTCAAATGTGTGAAAGTTGCCTGTAGAACTCTGATGATGCTCTGCATTTCTACGTGATTCCTTTCTTTTGTTCTGTAGGTTGAGAAGAAGCTCAATGAGTTTGAGCAGCTGAGAGCGAAAGTGGCTGAGTTATACCCTTCAACGATGTTACCCCCAATCAACAAAAAGGCCATTATTGTCAATGACGCAGTGCTCAGGGAAAGAAGGAACAGTTTGAATGCACTCTTGAAATTCTTTGCATCAACACCCAACATCTCCATCTGTGCTCCTGTTCTAGAATTTTTAGGTAAGCACATTTTATTATTAGAATAAAGAAAAATTTGAGTAGTTTTTCTCCGATCTATCTAGAATTAAAGATAATTGCGAATGAAGGAAGTTGGGTCTTCTGATTTCAGAGATAAAATTAATGAGAAAATCTCAGCCAAAGTTTGGTAACTTCCAAAACCGGAGAGTCCTTGAAAACTGCAAATTCACAGTTCTTGTGCCATAAACCAATGTTTTTCAGTAAAATCCACACAGAAATGTGTTTTTATATGATTTTAAAAGGTGTTGAGCCAAAACATACAAATTTGGTAACGATACGAAACTGGCAGGAAAATGCCGGTGTCTTTGATTTCATTATTATGACAAGCACCTGATTTCACCCAAATTCCTCACATTTTTATCTTTCATATATATCGTTCTATGATCTTAGAAGTCGAACAAATTCCCGATTAATAAGTAAACTTTGTAAAACTGTGCTGTATGCCATTTATATCAGTTTGAGTGGGTTGAATACAGAGCACCTTTTACTCCATCTATGTAATCCAGACTGAGAGGAAAAACATTCCTGTAGAGACCTGAGAAGTTTGCACCCGATTTGACTTTGCACCATGTTATACCTCTCTGCTTTTCATCAATCAAAAATAAAATCAACTATGCCCCTGTGCCAAACCTCAAGCAGACTTTGCATAAGGCCCCCACACACTCTAGGAAAGTTTCCACTCAGCAAACAACTGTGAGAATGAAAGTGACCAAGTTTTCATCGTTTTGTCTTTCTTCATGGACAAGTGATGGCATGCTTGACAGCCATTCCCTGAGTGGAAATTTTCTCAATGTGAATGGGGCCCCAAGTCTGATGTTTGAAGAATATTGCAGGTTATGTCCTGATGCGGTGGAATCAGGCGCTCGTCAATTTTTTTTGGGCATATATATGGAGTAATTAGCATTGAGTTGAGATAACTTCGATTGAAGGAGGTAGAGGTCATCAGATGTCAGAGATGAAATTGGTGAGAAAACGACAATCAAAATTTGGTGACTTCCAAAGCTTGAGTGTCCTTGGAAACTATAAATTAACACTTTTTTTGCCTTTGATCAAACGTTTTTAAATAAAATCCACATAGAAACCTTTTTTGAAATGGACATAAAAAGTCTGCCGTCGTAAGGGAAAACGACGAATGGTCAAAATTTTTCGATTTTGTTATTTTTATATATTTCATAGAGTATTTAATTCTGCATCTGATGGTGTAAAATTTTTGTCATATCCTAATCCGTTGTTGCGTAATTGAGAGTTCGTCGTTTTCCCGTACACTGGCGAGCTCCTAGCCAGAGCTCAGTGTAAGGGAGAATGACGAATGGTTGATCGGTCAAGGATCACTGCTCATTAAGCATTGTGCCCTGGTCTCTGCCGTTGGGCAAATTCGGCATGGGCGACGAATGACAACTGGTCACTGTTGCGTCAGTACAAACATACTAGGTTTTTTGCAAACAAATACACCACCACCCCTCCCCCGGAGTACCGTCGACCAGGTTTATAAGAATGTATCATTTAGTTTGTCTTTCTGTCTTCACGTATTAGGCCTATGCTGATGGTGTGAATTGACAAGAGCAGGTGGGAGAGAGGGGAAAACGGATGGGAACAGGGGGAAAGGGGTAGGGATGGGAGGGTCAAAAAAGTATTTAGGGAGAAATTTATTAGCACTGCATATTAGTGTCCCCCAGATGTTCACAGACTAACGTCATGTTAGTTTGCTGTCCAGTCATTTGACATCCCCAATCCCAACGATGGCTATAGTGCCGCAATTTGTCTAGCACGTGTCACTGGTCGACATCATTATAGAATTACCAAGCAATTAATGACACTGCGTTATGAGAGTAAATTTCTTTGTCCAACTTAAAAAGTGGACGTATTGTGGCGACACTTAGTCTTGCTTTACGATTTTTTATGACTTGATGGACGTTATGATCGAGTATAATAATGTCTTTCAGATTCTAACTGTCCTTGTCGATCTCTACTTTGTGATATGTTTTCCGATCCGATCAACTGAATCCTTTATTAAATAAAAAGCGTCGCATTACCTCTCCTGAAAGCGTTTTTGAAACAGTCTTGTCAGATTGTTACATTTCTTACGTGAAAGTTTGACTTTGCAATGATCTGATCGTATTATTGACATTGTAACATTGTTGATCCCTTTGGTCGTGTATGGAAAATTTTGCAATTAGCGAAAATAAAAGTAAAACTCGCTTCTGAAGAGAATACAATAGAGAGATATCATGGAGACCAAACTTTGGTTCCGAATGAGACAGTTTTAAATCAAACTGTTGAAAATGTGTGCACATCTGATTTGTACACTGACTGTGTAGTATTTAACCAAGCGAAGAAGGGAAAAGAAGGACGTTTACCGAGTTACAGTTGGGATATAACAAAAAAAATTACACCTAACTTTATACGTATAATAGATAGTTTATATACGTCTTATTTTTATTTGTAGTAACCAGTACACAGTCATTAGTGTCAATAATGCGTCACAACTGACCATCCCCTACGCCCATAAACGTTCACGAGTGTAAAGGAGAACGACGAAAAGTGCCATTCGTCGTTTTCGCTTACATCGCAAGGCTCACCTGCGGGTGCGCATTGTAAGGGAGAACGATGAATGCATGTCGAATAATTTGCTACTTTTTAACCTAAAGCATTCAAACTTTAGAAACTGCTCTATGAACACCTCAGTCAGATATCTGGTGAAGTACAGCTTAAAAGAGTGAAAAATAAAAGAGTTATAAAGTGAAAACAGTGTTTTGCCTCTCCTGAGAAATTTGCCTCGCTACCTGCGCAGGACCATTTATCGTTTTCCCTTATGACGGCAGAAGTGTTGAATGGAAAGACCAAAATTCAATAAGAATTACCAAATGGGCAGAAAAATGACCAATTCTTCAATTTCATTATTTTGATGAGCTCTGGATTTCTCCTTGATGCCTCACATTTCATTTGAGTGTTTTTGTGTGGTTTGCTCGTTCAAGATCTGTTTTATATTTATCAACTGGCATTGTGACATGTGTGAGGCAGCGTGGTGGAATCAGGCTCTCGTCAATTTTTGGGCATGTAGAGTTATTGGTATCATCTTAAAGCTTGTTCACTTGTCTTTATTCGGATGAAAAAAAATATCCATTTATCTTGAATACAAGTCGAGATATTTGCGAAAGAAAGAGGTGGGAGTCACATGTTTTCAGAGGTAAAATTAGTGAGAAAATGGCCACCAAAGATTAGTTATTTCCTTAGCTTAAGAGTCCGTGGTAACGGAACATTTACATTTTTTTGTGCCTTTAATCAACGTTTTTCAGAAAAATCCACACAGAAATGAATTCTTTAATGGGCATGAAAGGTGTTGAGCCAAAAAACAATTATTTTATAAAAATTCACTAACCTGCGGAAAAGTTTCTTCACTTTAATTATTTTGACGAGAGCCTGATTCCACCTGGCTGCCTCACCTCTGATTCCACCTGGCTGCCTCACCTCTGATTCCACCTGGCTGCCTCACCTCTGATTCCACCTGGCTGCCTCACCTCTGATTCCACCTGGCTGCCTCACCTCTGATTCCACCTGGCTGCCTCACCTCTCATTGATGGGGCTTTGATGTGTGGTCTTCTCCTCTTCTTTCTTTTTCAGTATCACAATAGTCAAAATTGTCAAAATATGTTTTCTAACAGATTTTGTAAGTACCGCTGATAAACCAAAGACTATAAAATATACCTCGGATCCTGGGACTTTGAGCAAGGAATCTTGCTTCAATTTATTTTTGTCCAAACTAAATAGTACACTGTGCTTCCCTCTACACTTAAAATAGGACACCCCCCCCCCCTCCACCCCCTCCCATTTTCCAGCCCCAAATCCATCTGAATTTCAGTATAATAAATGGAAAGCACTATTCCCAGTGTCACTTTGATAATAAATATTGAGCAATAGGAACATGATCAGCTGTTTGTGATGTGATGTGACTTGACCTGACCTTGACCTTATTGCAGGAGTTGACTCCCTTCGTGCCAAGCGGTTCAGCCGAGGAGAATCGGTGGAGGGAACTACAGCAGTGTCGACTGGTGGAGCAGGAATGGATGATGAAGCAGAAGCAAACACGTATGTCCACCATCTGCAGGGGTTACTAATGTTGTTTTCTTATAGTTCGAAGTTGAATGTCTGCTTTGAAATAACTTTTCCCTACTTCGTTCTTGTGCATCTGTTCAGAATTTTTGCGTAGATTTTGTGTCCTTTCTATCTCTAGTGTTGTTATTTTTCTACCCATTTGGTAATTCTTACTGAATTTTTGTTTTTCCATTCAACACTTTTTATATCCTTTTAAAAAAAAAGCTTTCTATGTGGGTTTTACTTTAAAATGTTTGATCAAAGGCAAAAAAAATGTTGATTTATAGTTTCCATTGACACTCAAGTTACCTGGAGGATGAGAAACATTTCTGTTCCTGTACAAACGGTCTGATCACTGTGAAAGGGCAAAAAGAGAAGTGAGTCAACTTAATGGATTGATAATGAAGCTAAAAGGAGTGAGATTCTCATGTGAATGTGTTTTCAAATACTGGCTTGCACTTAGGAGGAAATACTGGCCCAAATCTAGGCAGGGAGACGGAAAACTATACAGGAGCGTGGAGTACCTGCAGCAAACAGCACTACAGACTGGGATGTCTATTTAAAGATGAAAGATAAGATAAAGAATTATGAGCATGACAAGTTAGGTAAAGTTTCTGAGAGCAAAAGTGAAGTAAAAGTTCACCATTGATATATGATTTTCTTGGGTCAATGTTATACGCCATACTTAAACCACCATTCTTCCCATTCGATGAATGGCTTTGTAGCTCAATATCTGCAGCACTTCTTACTCAATGACTCAGCTTGAAAATATGTGTCACAACATGGTTGAATCGGGCACTCATAAATTTTTGGGCATGGAGTTATTGATTTAACCTTACATCTTGTTGATTTGCCTTGATTTTAATGAAAAAAATACCAATCTGTCTGGAATGGAAGTCAAGATACTTGCAATTGAAGGAAGAAAGGATCTCCTGGTGTCAGATGAAATTAGCGAGAAAATGTCCGCTAAAGTTTGGTGATTTCCAATGCCTGAAAGTCCTTAGACACTAGAAATATATATGGTCGCTTTTAAGGACTAGCGGGCTAACCCAGATTTCGGAGGTTTGCAAAAATCTTGACCCATACCAAAAGTGGGCATTGCCCTACCTATAGGAGAAGTTTGGTTTCATTGGTGTGTATGTTTGGTTATAGAGAAAACTCTCCTTGTCTTTTAAAGAAACTGAACAAGGGGCAAAAACTTTACCTTCAATTTTGTCTAAACAGCATTTTTCGGGATAGCCCCATTGTGCTTAAAAGAGACCATATTTTGTATGCCTTTGACCAGCCATGTTAGTAAAATCCACCTCTGTGCTTATCACCTTGTCCGCACTATGGCATTGGTGGTCTAGTGGTTAAGCTCTTGAACTGTCAGCCGTAAGATTGTGGGTTAGAATCCCATCAGGGAAGGGAAAAAATATTTTATATGAATTTTCCTCTCTTCACCCAGGTGGGAATAGGTACCTGGCTCTAGACCGCAAAAGATCTTGTCGGTTTGTTAGTGTTTGAGTGCTCAATTTGCTGCTTGCTCTCTAAACTTCCTGGGAAGAAGAGAATGGTTCTGAGTGTTCTAGGATCTACTGAGATAATGATAGTTTTAAGGTGCATAGAGCATGCTGTAGAAAATGGGCATGTGCTATTTGAATCTGATGCTGTTATTATTATTTTATAGACAGCAAAAGATCTTGTCAGTTTATTAGTGTTTGAGCACTTAAATGGCAGCTTGCACTGTATGCTTCTCAGGAAGGTGAGAATGTTTCTGAGTGTTCTAGGGTCTGCTAGGGTAATAACAGTTTAAAGTGCACAGATTATGCTGTTGAGCGTGGATATGAACTATGTAAAATGCAATAATCATAGTTTCTGTTTTGCGGAAGATTTTTATCAAGTATCTCAGTGGTCTTTCTTCAACTCAGATGTATGTCAGACAGCTCTGTTGGCCCAGACAGGCTAGGTTAATAAAGCATCCCATCTTCTAAACAATCCCAATTAATGTCTGCAAGCTGTTAAAATGTATTGATAAGCCCATATGAAACAACATTTTCCAGGAGAGAGAATTTAAAAGACTTTTAACACATTCTTCCCCCATTATGAATTTCAACAAAATATTTATTGAGCACATGCAACCTATACCACAGATTAAGAAACTGCATTTTTTTTTGGGGGGGGGGGGGAATCAAAATTTTTGGCTTATAGATCTATGTATATTTTTAACAGTTGACCAACAGTTGGGATATTGAAGATTTTAAAAATATATAGCAAAGAAGCTCACTAGTTTTATATTTCATGTAGTGTACTTTTAAAGATGTTACTCATCCTCATGACAGATTTTGTTTTAAATTTCATTTTCTATAGACCAGAGTTGAGCTTCTTAGGTGAAGAAGATGAGAATGCTGAAGGCAACAATGATGATGATGATGACGACCTTTTCAATGAAAAAGATGTAGATGATGATGCTGATATGTTTACATCAAAAGGTGAGAATTTGTTTTCTTTTCTATTTGTTACGACTAGGTTTTTTTTGTGGGATTTTTTTGACTGGTGAGGATTGAAAAAATAACGAAACTGTTGAGTTTTGTCATGAAAAATTTTTGCTAATAAAATCCTTGGCCATTTTGGTGCGTCTGATATCAACAATCGGAGCAAGTTCAAAATTTTTGGGACAATATTGGTCTCAGAGGCTCCTTTGTTTCCTAGTTCTTTTTTTAAATAGCCACCCCTAAAAAAAGAATGAATATCCCAACGATGGCCCTCTTTGCCCATGTGGTCTGAAGGTTAATCATCATCTGTGCTGTCTTTTTAGTGTAATACATGGCTTGATTAAAGTTTTAAAGTTATTAATTGTTTTTGTGTATCCGGAGAGATTGTGTTTCCCAAATGATTGTAAGCATTCTATGGTGGGTGGTTGATGGGTGCTCTGGTGGGATTTGCTCCATCTTTTCTATCAAATGTCTATCAGCCTTATATTTTCTATTTCCCCTCCTTCTTTTTTGTGTTTGTCACTCTTGTAATTTGTTCTATTCTAATCTTTGACACTCATGTCACCTTATTTTATTTCAAGTGCCACAAAACTCGTACTAAAACTAAAAAGTATTTTACTGCTTCAAGGACACTTTACTTTGCTTTATTTTTCCGATCCAGCGGCCATTTGGGTTCTAGCCCTTCGGTCTGTCGATATGGCAAAGAATTGACAGGTTTTAATCAGCTGTGCTTTGTCGCTGTTTCCGATGTCTGGGGAGGCAGGTAGGTAGGTGCTACGCAGGTCACAAAGTGCTGAGCAGTTAAAGAGGTGGTGTGGTACTGTTTCATCCTGGCAGTCGCACAACGGGCAGCCGGGTGGGGTATCCTTGCGGATCCTATTAAGGTAGG